AAAAGTTCTTTCTTCCATCTAATTACTTCTCTTCGTCATTTTTATTCTAAAGTTTAATTTAATCGAACTTTCCAAATTTAAAATATCCCTTTTATGTCTTCCCTCAATTCAAGATTTTATTTGGTAAATAAATAAAGAGAGCCAACGTTCCATTTAATTCAGGAAATGTAATGCTTTTCCAGGAAAAGCGGAGAATCAGTGAAAAAAAGTTATATATTAGAGGCGGGTCGACGTTTAATGAAAGCAAACTAAAAATAATTTATTCTATCAATTTCTTTATTTTTTCATCAATTCTGTAAGTCACTCTGGAATATATAAAATCTAATATTAATTTGTCTTTTTAATGTATTAATATTTTTCTTACGTTTGAAGAAAAATTTAAATAGAATTCAATTTATGTTCAAAATTGAAATTTTATTTGATTTCTAATAACGAGAATAACAGTTAAACTTCATACAATAATGAAATGCTGGAAAATTGTACTGAGTGGGGCAAACACGTTTATAAGCTAAGGGAAAATTTTTATTGCAAGTTTCTGAAAAACATGACAAACGGCATCTTTGACTTACAATTCGTAGATGATTATGTGATATATAGTCCAATCGGCCTAGTCAAAATTGTATTTAAAGGTGGCATTAATTCCGAATGCACAATTTTTTGCATGTGGCTAATTTTTTGCTAGCAGATGAGGAAAAAATTTTCTACACGGGAGAAATCCGGGGAATGGCCGGAAAACTGCAGAAAACTTATTTTGTGAATAACTTGAAAAGTAATTGGAATTTTACAGACATACAAAGGAGCAAAGTTGTACAGCATAAAATTCTCTATAAAAAAAGAAAGATTTCAGAAAATTTGGTATGAAAGGGAAATAATATAGAGGCAAGATAATCGCAGAAAATTGAGAATTTACTACAGCTAGAATGTTTTTTTAATGTGATTCACAAAATATACACTAGATCCACTCTGATAAATCATTTTCCTCGTTATAAGGACGTTCTGTATCCGAAATCTTATCACCACCCTCGTTTTCATGGGAAAGCAATAATGAAACATAATTATTAAAATTAAATATTCTCTTACAAACCTGTATGCTTCTAATGTTTTAACTTTATTCATTGCTGTATCAGATAATTTATAAGTTGCGCAACACATTTTCTGGCTTTTAAGGCCTTATCTTATTGTCAAAATTGATGACAGCAGAGATTGAATTACTCACACCTTTTCTCATCGAGGTTCGTTGCCCAAATATTCTACCTGGATAATAGATGGAAAGAGCAGCTTCTAAGCTACAATTTGCTATAGTATTAATATTTTATTCTTCTCCGGTATTCTGTATTACGGGTCTTTTCATTCCTGCCTCTTTTTCGGGTGTTTCTTAAACTATTGAAAATATTGAATGAAAATAATAATAATGATTTCTTCATGTTATATTCATAAAGAACGGGTTTCAAAGAATAAATCCATGTACTACATACATACTGAGACACAATACATAGATGTTTCCTCCGGGCTAGAAAAAAAAAGTGGAGCCAGTGCTTATATCTAAAACATGAATGAAATAAAACACAGGCAAATTTGTGCCGGGATCGATTCATACAAAATGCATGTCGCATTTGGCTTGGTTTTGTATTGCTAAATATTTGTCCAATTTGCTTTAGTTGATTGGTTGTCTCATTGACTTTGTAAAAAAGCTCAAAGTTCAACTGCCAACTAAGCTCTAGTCGCGATGATAACACATAGTTTTCTTAAGGAAAGAATTATTTTCCCCTGTAAAATAGCTCATGGAATGAAAGTTTGAAGCTTCCCCTTTGGAACAAACTTTGTTTCATTTTCATCAAGAAATGAAAGTAGTCACACATTGAGTACCGCTTTGAAATACGTGTTTTTCTGGCTGATTTGCCTAACACTCGTCAATTTTTGTAAATTCCTAAATATCTCCTAAATAACGCACTGTATGAAAATATTAATAGGAACTTCTTTTTTGTAGAGAATTTTATGCTCTACAAGTTTAATCCTGTGCATGTTTGTAAAATTTTCAATACTTTTTAAGTTATTCACGAAATACGTTTTTTTACAATTTTCCGGCCATTTTCGGAATTTTCCTAATCCGTTCCCGTACAGAAAAATTTGTTTCTTCATTTACTAGTAAAATACTAGTCACTTACATAGAATTGTGCACTTCAGGATTACTGCCATTTCAAAACCTCTAGCAACTGGACTAATATGAGTATGTTATGTAACGTTTGTTAGAACAAAATTGTTTTCGACTAAATCTAGAAAAATGCAGATACTGTTTAAATTGAAAAATGTAGGTCTCTTTAGACCAACAAATTCCACAAATAACTAATGGGCAAAATAAATTTATTCAGTGAAAAAAAAAATTTTCCCACGTAGACCTGTGTATAGAGTGTTCGTGATGGTGAGATTGCTTTTTATATAAAAATAGACCAAAAACTCTTTATATTTTTTCATGGTTGCTGAAAACACTTTCTTATGATTGTAGTGATGTATGTTTGACGAGTCTAACACTAAGGGAGATAAGTCAAAAGAATGTGATAAAGAGATTGTTACTGGTAACTAAACAAATGAGTGTATATCTACGGGCGTAAATGAGTGCTAAAAATTTAGAAGGTAATAAAACATGAAAACATAAGACGATCAAACAAATTTTTTTCTTTAACTCTTTAACAAGAGTACCTTTTTAAGTAAAATGAAAATTTACACTGAAATTCAAAATATGTCCTGTATAAAAACACAAGCCAAAAAATAAATTGTCACTGAAAAAGATAATAGCTAGCGCCCTCCAACAAAAAAAAAACTAACAAAATTGATGGGTATATATATTAAGTATGATCAGAAACATACCTGCACCAAATTCCAACGCAATACATTGTTTTTTGGAAAATATATGGCTAAAACTTGATTTTATAAAATAATCTTTGGTATCCTGTATCTCAAAAAAGACCATAGGAAAAAATCGTCTTATTTTTTATTTTCTATCATCCTCTAAACTGTTGCAGAAAAGATATCTAAGTATCTAAATTTTTTTAATATGTACATACAGTAAAAATATTGAACAAGTGTAGATATGGCCATTTGATGCTAGGTGAGGGCAATACAACATCAAAACGACGTCAATACAACATTCAAATAAATGAAGCTATTCAATTGGCGTCATGTGCAATTTGTAAAAAATCTGAGTACGCCAATGGCTTCCTCATAAAAAATAGAACAAATAATCTACAAACTTTTTTCTTCTAAATTTAATGACAACGGAGAGAGAGAGGTTAATGTAAATGGCCGATTTTTCAAAAAAGCCCTGTATATCTAAAACTAATCAAGTTAGCCAAGATCTTTTGGTACTAACGAAGTAAACTCAAAAGAAGAGAACGGGATATCGATATCAAATTTTTTGTATCTATCTCCGTTTTAAAACATTTCCAGGCTATAAACTTTCATTTTCAAGACAATATTTTATTGACTCTAACAGTCAAATCCCACGGTTTATAATTGACACTATTGATAATTTTAATAAAAAAACTTCGTCTTACAAATAAAAGTAGAAAATATTGTCTGAAGTAATGTATTTGTGGTACAGTTTTAGATATGTTATATGTTTATTTGGATATTTTGCCTCTAGTGAAAAAATTTAAAAATTTGTTAAATAAACCCTTATACCAAAAGGATCAGTTTAGGGTTATTTTACGAAACTATTTCTGATTAACCAAAACTCACACCTTGAATAAAGTGTAGATAAATAACAAATTCACACCACTTACCACGCATTTTAATTATTGGGAATATGTTTCCTTTTAGTTAAACTGTCAAACTTAATTAAAAAGAAACGTCACTTCCATTTTTAAATACGAAAACTGATTGATTTTTTGAAACGTATTGGTTTGGCAAAAATAATTTCATAAAAATAAGCCTTGACTAATTTTTTCGGTGTAAGGGTTTAGGTATTCAGCAGATTTTTATATTTTTCCGCAGGTGACAAAATATCAAAAAAAAAACATAAAAACTTTAAGCTGAAAAACTTTGGAAATGTTATATGTAGTATAAAACCTGTTTTTGGTAGTAGCAAATATACGCGTAAAAATTGAACTAACTGATCTTTATCGCGAAAGGTTTTATTTACTGACCTTTTAATACTTATAACGTGAAGAACATAAAAATGTAAAACTCCACAAATACTTTGAGAGAAGATTTTATGTACAAATAAATTTAATATAAATTTTTGGCTTCAAAATGATGCCAAGATTTAAAATTTTTGTACCTAATTCTTGCAAATAAATATAATTCCGAATATTTTTTATAAAATATCTGAAAACAATTTCAGTGTTTGAAAGTAATAAATTAATAATAAAACAGATTTAAATTTTTGCATAATAAAAAAATGTGTATAATTTACCAACGAAATTGATAGCTTTTGATTATTTTCAAAAAGGCATACTCTTATTTGTATTTAGTAAAGTCAATTTTGTAGGGGGAGATGCAAAACGTTGTAGAAAAATGTACATTTGACTAATAACAGTGCTTCCCCTGTACTACGCCTATGTAAAAAAACTATAATTATTGAATTAATCTGTAGAATAGCTTATATATCTTTTATTGCAAATGCTTCGATGTACCAATGTATAAATACGTTTGTACATGAGTGTATAAACACATACATCACTTGTTGCAGTTTAGCTGCTTCAGTAAGTATTTTATTTTGATAACATAGAAATACCAAATTACTAAAAATAAGTATAATTTAACCCGTTACAAGTTAGTATTACACTTAATTTATTATATTTAATTACTAATATGTGCCCACCTTTATATAAAAAATTTTTATGAGATTGTTAAATATTCTAAAATTAATTGTGAACTAAAAAATTGGTATGATGAATATGCAGTAAATTTCTTTTAATAGGTGGGCAATGAAAAATACAAGTTTTCGTATAAACATATGTGATTGATCAAGTTAATTTATTTAAAAGAATAAAAGCTCTCACCTTTATTGTCTCTCAGCTCGCTTGATTTGATTTCGTCAACTAGGGATGTGGGAATGCCCAGTACCAAAACGATAGAAGAAGCAACAATTAGGAAGTCTAGAATGACATGGCGCAGTCCCATCGTGTGTGTTCTACTGGAGCGCTGAAAACAACTGAAAAACAGAAAACCCGGCCGACGATTTTCATCTGTTGGGCTCAGCCTACTACGCATTCTCATTCACCAGCGGGAAACTGCGAGGGCTGAAATCTATTGAACCTTGGATATTATGAGGCTGATGTTACTTGTATAATAGATTAGGTACCTACATATCGATATCAGGTAGGTACGTTTAGTATTTCAACAATTAATCGTTTCTATTATTTTTTTGTTTTAAATATTTAAATTTTGTTTCCACGTAATTCTAAATTCCTTGAAAAATTATCATTTCATTTGATATTTTTTCTATTGGTACACTTTGAAATCATAAATATTGTATTAATACTACAAAAAATGGAAATAAGAACTAATAATGTCAAATGGTTGCATTTGTGATGTTACATCAGTATACCTTTCGTTGTCATGAAAATGAGAAAACAAAAATTAATTTGTAACGGTACTGTCACATAAGATTAATTGCTGTCACCACAGTTATTACTAGTTGTATATTGTTTAAAAATGGATTCTAACATTGATTACTTAAATAGTAAAGCAGAATCGCGATTAATACCGCAAAAATCGGAAAACGCTTATAGAAAAGAATACCTACGATAAGTTCATCAAATGGATGGAAGAGTAAAAGGTAACAAATACAGATGAACGAGTTGTGCTTGCTTATCTTCAGAAAATGTCAGAGCAGTACAAAGCGTCGACATTAGGTAAGTTCGGCATTAACATCTAGATGCACCAGATGTGTTTTGTTCTTTTCTAATTATTGTAAGAGATGAAAAGACAAAGACATATATCTAGAGCATCTAGATGTCAATACCGAACTTGCCTTATGTGGGTTATCCATTTGAAATTGAAAAGTATGTTGAGGATAAACAAAGATTTGAAATCATTTACGAAACTGCATGCATTCATGAAGGCAATTAGCAAGAATGACGTAGCGAAGAAGGCATATGTATTCAAGGAATATGATTTGCGGAAGTTTTTCACGGATGCACCGGACATTACGTATTTATTTTTGAAGGTGGTAGCCATTTGCGGTANTATCTTAAAAAAATTAGGTCAATAGGATTAATAATAAGTGATATATTTAATTCTGAATTTGTAAGACCCTTAAAAAGGTCAACACTGCCGGAGAACAGGTAATGACGTCACGATACCGGCCACTCGGGGATCAAGTCGCGAGCAGTCGGAGAGATGTGTAGATATTTGCTATACTTTTACCTATATTATATACCTATATTTTTAAGTGTATAAATAGAGACTGTGTATAATAAGAGATATACGATATGCATCAAGTCCTGTTCAAATGCATTTTTCACACAACATATTTATTTTAAACATAGAATGACTTGGAATATCTAAATACATTTTCGGATTTTTTTCTCACTTTTCTACATTTTCTTTTGCGTTCCATTTTTGTACAAATGTACCCAACGTATGTACTAGACTCGGTACTTGTGGATGTATGTGACGACGTGTATGTGCCAGTAGTATTGACTAGTATTTGAAGCAACTCAGAACCACCCTCGTTTTTCTTTGGTTGCCCGTCTAGGGGGTTGTAAAATATTATTATTTAAATAAATTGCTTATAGGTGCCTCTCGCCACGTATTTCTAAATTTTTGTGGACGGGAACGTTTAGATGGGGTAGAATTTTTTTTTTCGGCATAAATTTGAAAATTCTGTTCTAAATGTTCAAATAATAATATTTATAACCCCCTAGACGGGCAACCAAAGAATAACGAGGGTGGTTCTGAGTTACTAATAGGTCCCTCTCGCCGACGTATTTCGAAATTTTTGTGAACGGGTACGTTTAGATGGGGTAGAATTTTTTTTTCGGCATAAATTTTAAAATTCTGCTCTTAATGTTCACATAATAATATTTACAACCCCCTAGACGGGCAACCAAAGAAAAACGAGAATGGTTCTTAACTACTTATAGGTCCCTCTCGCCGACGTATTTCGAATCTTTTGTGAACACGAACATTTAGATGGGGTAGAATTTTTTTTCCGGCATAAAGTTGAAAATTGTGCTCTAAATGTTCAAATAATAATATTTTCCAACCCCTAGACGTGCAACCAAAGAAAAACGAAGGTGGTTTTGAGTTGCATACCGTGGCTGGGGAAACCGTGGATAACATCACACAAACTTTTCATTTTTCGATAATGAAATAAATATTTTATTCGGAGTCGATTCTGTCGTACTTTTGTAGCCTGGAACTATACATTATTTGTACAGTCCTCGGTTTCGACCCATTTAGACATAAAAACAATGATTAACGAAACTGCCAAGCGAACCACACACCGTATGTATTACGCAGAATGGGATGAGAGCGAGCGCGAGCGCGAGCGGAATGCTTTGCCAGTCGCCCGTACCGGTATTATGACGTCAGACAATGGTTGCTCAACGTTTTTCCGCGCTAGGTTTTCATTAATTTATTTCACACATTTCTCGTTGAAAAAAAAAATTGATTTTTGGCATACTAACTAATAAAAGGGTAAACTTTTAGAATATGCAAAAAAATTCTACTGAATGGGCCTATTCTAAATTCCTTGAAATATTATCATTTCATTTCGTAATTGTAATGAATTCGTGTGTATTATTTTGGAGTAGAAAAAATCAATTTCATAAAACATCAGAAATGAAAATAGTATATTAAAGTATAAGTGGATATTAAGGTCTTTAAAACACGCGCGATTTTTTTAACACGACGGCGCAGCCGGAGTGCTCGAAATAGAGCAAGTGTTTTAAAGACCAGTTATCCACGAATTCTTTACGCTATTTTTTTTTATTGGTACACGTTGAAATCATAATAATAGTCCAGTCGACAGAGGCCGAAAAGTTACTGTTGGTGATATATCCTTGATAACTCGGAAATAACTACATAGGAATACTTTAAATGATGAGTACAATAACAGGCTAATTTGCTGACAAAGTATTTTATCAGGAAAAAAAGTTATTAACAATTTAATAGTGAAAAAAAATTTTTTTAGTAGTTTTCTTTAAATAACTCAGCGGGATGACTTTGTGCGAAAAAATGCTTAGGACATGATTTTGTTCGTAATAAAAATAACTACAAAATGGCGGTGGTCCGATTACGAAATTTGTAATAACAAAACCGTGAAATTGAAAAAACGGTATAAAACGTAAATTTTAAAGTTGCTGTAAAAATGTCAATTATAAACAAGAAGAGATAAGACTTTCGAAAACTATAGTTCAATATATATACAACAATGACGCTAAAAACGAAAATCAGGAGAGCAAAATTTTTTGTTCTATAAGGTTTTATACATCCATCGGCATCTGAAACTCGAAACTTTGCTAAATTTGTTTGAAGTTTTGCTGACACTTGAAATTTGGTATACACATAAAGTATGCAGAAACCAAAAGCAATTTGCAAAATTCATCTTCATTTTTGCAGCTTTGGTAGAAAATAATAATTTTCATCGATTAGATCCTAAGCTACTTAACATTTTGCGCCTGTTAGCCGTACTCGTACATTATTCAACTTATCAACATAAAACATAATCGTACGTGTGGGGTAAACCTTTAACTTTTCAGTTTCGAGCGCGAGCTCCGCTCTTCGGCGCTTGTATACTATTAGAAATACTTATGCAACAGTTAGACGAACGGTCCACCCTTAAAAAGATGCTTAGAAAATCAAGGTCACCGATCACGAGGAGAGGCCAGGATGAAACCTTTTGTAATCGATGCATTGAGTTATTGCGAACAAAAAACCTAAGTAACATCTTTGTGTCCGAGTGGCAGGTAATTTGTTACTAACAAAAAAGTTGCAAAATAAAAATATTGCAAAAAAACGCTCTGCAAA